GGTTGGTCCCGGTGTTTCCCCCGGGATTCCTGGCGTCCTTCCCTTCCCTCCACCCGCCGGGGTCGTCCCCTCAGGCCCCGGGGTGGGAGTCCCGGGCGGCGGCGAGGCCTGCTCTTGCTGTTCGGGGTTAGGGCCCGGTTCCCGGCCTGAGGCGGTTCTAGGGTGAGGGACAGCGGGTTTGTCGTGGTGTTGAAAGTCTGGCAGGGTTCCCGCTCTGGGGCTGGGAGGGCAGGGGGGAAGGTGTATCCCTAAGGCTCCTCCTGCGAACGGGAAGTGAAAGCTACTGTGTGAGGTGACAGCCCAGCCTGGCTGACAGGACCCCTGGTTCTCCCTGGCAGGTCCTGGGCAACGGCCGGTTAATGTTCCTGTCAGACAGGCGACCTGAAAGGCAGGCCGGTCTCTCTCCGGCCCCTGACAGCCTGCTTTACCTGCATTTCACAGAAATTGCCCACTTCTGCTCCTTTTCTGCCTCACCCGACGCTGTGAGGGCTTGCTAGCTGTGCCAGGTTTAGGTGCGGTGTTGCACAGTCCCGTTCTGGGGACGGGTAGATGAGACAGCACTTCCAGTCCTCCCTCAAATGGTGAGTGTCTTATTGCTGACCAGCAGCTAGAATTGTAGAATCATTTAGGTTGGAAAAGACTTTTAAGATCATCGAGTCCAACTGTAAACCTAACAGCTGCCAAGCACGCTGAGGCAGCGTGGAACCATGGTGGAAGAGACTTTGGCATGGGTGCAAGTTGAGTGTTATGGGAAGAAATCAGATGTGTCTGAACTTACCAGCCTTGTTGTGTTTTCAAAGTGGAAGAAGGGAGGTCATTTAGCTGTGGGTCTCAAATTCACATCTTTAGCCAGGACAAACACTGAAGCCTTTGTCAGTATAACACCAGTTGCCAGGATTTGGTGTGTTTTGGGGTTGAGTTTGTTTTGTTTTTCTTTTGAGGAGGGGGCAGCTTTGATAATTTTTTTTAAGAGGAAAAAAACCAAAACACCTCTGGTATAAACACATTGTAGTGCAAGAGTGTATGCTGGTAAGAGCTTTGTGTTAAAAGCAGGTTTTGCTGATAATAATTTGATTTTCCAACACATTTCTCTCACGCCTTCTTTTGTATAGATGTGGTCTAAATCTTTCTCAACAGCTTGCAAACTGATGAAACTTTGTCAGGTTTCTAGTTAGTTAAAGCTTTTGGTAAAAAGTGGGTGCATGTCCCAGAGAAATGAGACTGCTGGAAATAACTAATTTCCTGAACTTGACTTGTATCATGACTTGGGTAAATCAGGGGCTATGGGGTTCAGGAGGAATTCTTTTTCTTTTCTTTTTAAGTGTATGCTAACTTGAAGCCCAAACATTTGGTTTAAATGCTCTGAATTCTCAAAAAGCTTTAATACTGTTTTTGAGCAGCTTGGTTAAAGTTAGTTTACATTCAGGATAATTTAATCACTTTGAAGCCTCTTTTTCCATGGCATCTTTTTGACACTTCCACATTAGCCTTGCTTTTTTAATTGTAGTTTTAACATAATTTCTACCTTAATATACTGATTTCTGTCGTTATAAAGCCCTTTACAAAATTTCAGTTTGTGGGGATGACATTGTTCTCCTCACACAACAGAAATTATTTTTCAAAACCAGTGGGGCTGTGGTGTATTTAATGTCTGCAAAATTTGGTCTTAAACAGGAATTTGCTTTCCTGTTCCTCTTGCTTATGTGGAAGATGGAAGCTGCTACAATTCTGCTAGTAAATCTGTGTTGTCTCATGGAAAGTATTTGAAGCCAGGGACTCCTGACCTAGAGAACTGGTTGGTAGCTCTCACCTTTTCTTTTTAATGTCTGGGGATTGGGGCAGCAGCTTCTCTTTATGCTCTCTCTTGGGGAATTGCCCTTTTAAAAATGTTCACGACTTGCCTGCTTTGCATAATGAAGGGAGCTAAGGACGCAAGAGGTAAATCCTGTAACTGTATTTCCTTTGAAAGGTCATTTGGAGCAGCACAGTGTTTCCAGCAAGATCATGCCTGGACTTGTTCTGCTGAGAATAGAAGGGAAAAAAAAAGTAGCTTCGCTGGCTTTTACACATGGTTGGCATATCTACTTGTGAACAAGCCCTAATGTGGTAAGCTCTTCTAGGCAAAAGTACCTCCCCAGGGAAGCCAAGCATACTTCCACTTGTTGCAATTTCTCTTTGAATTTCACAGGTTAGGTTAGCACAAAGGTAGATGCTGGATGCCGCCCGTGTATTAGGAAGTACCACTAATGTGTGAGGGTGCAGTAGGTGGAGCTCTCTCTGCGTCGGTACGGGACGAGGGAGCTCACAAACTAGTAGCTGTGTCTTGCTGGACTGCCTCGAAACTTGCCAGCCCAGGTGTTACCCTGATGGATTTGCTTATCTGATATAACTGAAGATAATGTGCTGTGGTAGGTGAAGGATTGCTTCTCAAGAAAAAAATGCCTTTGCTCTGAGTGAGTGGAAATTTGCAAGGCTTCGTAAAGGAGCAGATTTCTACCTGGGATATGTAAAATTAGGTCCTAAGAAGTTGGGGCTCTGAAAGATTTCATAGGGTTCTTTGTAATGATGTGACAGTGGTGCTTCACATCCAGTTTAGGAAAGAGCTCTGCAGAGTTCTGCTCTGTTTCCCTTTGGGAAGGAGCTCTGATAGTGCAACGAAAGTTTCACAGTTGCTGCTGTCTACTGGCTGACAAGTTAGACGAAATAATCTCTGTTGCTGCCTCTGCACTGTGCTGATGTTTCTGAAAACGCAGAGGCGGAGCTGCTGTCTCAGCACGTTAGCAAACCTGCCGTCCCCAGAAAAGAGGTATTGCCTGGGTTTTGGAAGGCTGAGTCGGAAACTGGAGAACCTAAAGCTTAAAATACAAACTAAACCTGGCTTTCAAGCCGTGTCCATTTTCCAGACATCTGTTTAATTTTTTGTTTGTATTGCCTGTTAATTTGAGGGCTTTATCTAATTAATATCTTGTGGCCTGCCATTCTGCAAACCATTGAGCATCTCCTGGATCAGCTTGTCCAACCTGTATAATGTTGGTCATTAAGTTTCACTCAGATGGCTCTGTATCAAGTCTCATTAGTCCTTGTGTGACTAATCTCTGCATGAACTGGCTAGCCTGGGGTGCCGCTTATGTCTGAGACCTCTGCAGCTACAGGAAAATGAAGAGATGTATTGAGATAAGTGCAGTGGCCAAACCACGCCCTGTGCTGCAGCAGGAGGTGAAAAAAGCACAGGGCCAGACCCCAAGGAAAATTATTCTTGACCTCAAATCTGAGAGTCGATCCAGTTCCAGGAATAAGAGCAAGAGGGTTTTTAAGTGTATCCTCTGTATTCTTTGAAATCACTAGTCACACCCCTCCGTGTGCAGCTCTAGTCTATCTGTGGTACTTCCAGTTCAGAGGGAGAGAGAGCACATCTAACTTTCTAGATACTGGAATAAATGATGTGTCTTGAGCCACGTAGACAAATTGTTGACCCCTGAAGAACCAACCAGGTAGAAGCGTGTTCCAGGCAGAGTAAATGATTCTTTTCTTCTCCCCCTTGTGAAGGATGAGAAGAAATGCAAGGACTAACATTCAGGTTTTTCAAATGACTGTCCAGCTGAATGCCTTGCAAACAGAAGCTATAGGGGGTAGGAGGGAAGAAAAAAGCTGTAATAAAGCGTACCTTTTCCTACTAAATGAGAATCCGTAGTGTCGTCTAGGTGTCTTCTGTCGTTTGTCCGAATGTTTTGGAGATCTGACAAGGATTGTCCAACAACTGCCTTGTGTGTTTGACCATGATACAGGTCGGGTTTGATGGGGTTTTTACTGCTTTTTTGAGCCCTGTTAACACTGGTCAACTTTGAGGAATTACCATGTCTCCTGTGGAGAATTAAATTGAGAAAATAGGACAGCTTGGCTCACATATTTGTCTCTGTGAGGGTTAAGCATCTCAGTTTGAAATGAATATGTGGCTTATAAATAGATTCCTCTTTCACAAAATGCAAAACAGTCTCTGTTTCGCAGGACAACGGGAACCAAAAACAAACCCCAGAATGAGTGAGGGCTGGAACTGCACAGCTGATACGCTATGCAGGACCACCTTTGGAAGTTACTGAGATAGACACACTGAAGCTTTCAGGTGAAAGGATGGTAAGGTTTAAATTGCAGTGTATCTGAAGAACTTAAGAGAAATATTGCATTTGTATAAAAAGTCTTTTTGCAGACTAAGTATTTCTGGCATTTAGTAGTGTCCCAATAAGTGATCTGCTGCTCTGCCTTTGCAGTATAATGCTTTCCTGTAGCATGTTCTGTAGCATTCAAAATAAGCATTATCATGCTATAAATAAGACTGGGCAAGCCTTGAAGCAAAATGCTTGGATCCCTGGAGCCTACACTCTGTAATTTATTATAGACCTGTTTTGGTCCACAGATAAAAGGAGTGGATGAGAACAAGAGGGTGACAGCAGTGTGGTAGTGCAGTGACTCAATTCAAAATGTCATGGTGCGTGCTAGTGCTGGAGTTTGCTGGGGGACTGCTAAACATCATTGTTGCAGCAATCCTGAACTGCTAATGGCTTTGCTGGCCAAATATTTCCCCAGATGACTCTGCTTTGCAGCCTGTGCTGAGCTCAGTGCTGTTGCAGCTATATTGTTATCAGCACCAAAGTTAGCTGCTTTGAAGCTAGTTGAGATATACCGAGATGAGCTGCAAGCACACCTTTGATCATTGTGTAGATCTAGTCATAATGAATCTTATTTTCTGATCATAGATATGCTAATAGTAGTTTTTTTAGGAAGGCATTGTTTGGATCAGAGGATGCTGGATCCAGACTTGGCAGAGTGTGCAAAGCATTTTGTGCTCCTGCTGGGACACAATATAATCTGGCAAAGCACAAAAAAGTGTGTCCTGAGTTTAAGCAATGAGTAGTTCTGCAGCTTTCCATGGGACCAGTTGAATATTTACCTGAATTAAGGCATAGTAGTTAATACTTTGCAGGATTGAGCAAGTAACAACGTACACAAATATAAGTTATGCTTATCAATGGAATATGCAAAGCAGGTATCAAGCATGATGATATTTTACCCTTATCTTGATTGTTTTGGCATGACTACCATAGTTGATAGCAATAGGATCAGGGAGGTCTCAAAGCAAAACCTGGCCAAGGGTTTTCTATGGAGAACTTCTGAAATGAGCCCACTGGTCAGTAGCTTGCTCCCATGCTGTCTCCCAGCTGCTCCTCTGTTAGGATATTCCTCATTTGTAAGATCTTAATTAGTAACTGAAGCATATGCAGAGAGGATGGCAGTGAGAGCTGCAGTGACCTTTGGTGTTCTGTCTTCCCCTACATGTGTTTATTGGGAGACCTGCAGTTTAAATCAGCGTGGTAGAATGAAGTTACCCTGTATGTATCACGGCTGTAATTTGTAATCCTTATTTGCTATTCAGGTTTTGTTTCAGGTATAACAATTTACATATTCCACTCTGAAGTATGCATGCTCCGAGGTTTGAATTCAGATGAATCTACTTCTAAGTTACACAAGTACAAAATAAAAATAAAATAAAAAAATCAGAGTACTTTAGAAGGGGAAAAAAAGTATTTCTGGGTCCTTGCCTTTTGGTAACTCAAACTATTAGACTGCTAGTTCTGCCAGGTAAAGAGAATTGTTTTCTGGCAGAAAGGAAAAACAGATTATCAGTTTAGATGAAATAATAATATTTTTTAAGTGCTTGGGGGAGGCAAGGGGGTGTCTGTCTTTGTTTTGTGGTGTGGTGATTTTGGGGTTTTTTTTGTGGGGGCTCTGTCAGATCAAATAACATTCGCAGCACATAGCTATAGCTTTTTCTTTGTGATGATCTATATGCTGTTGCAAAAAAGACTGCTGTCAGGATAAAATTTCCATTTGTCCTGGTTTCAGCTGGGATGGAGTCAATTGTCTTCCTAGTAGCTGGTACAGTGCTATGTTTTTGAGCTAGGTATGAGAAGAATGTTGATAACACTGATGTTTTCAGTTGTTGCTAAGTAGTGTTTAGTCTAAAGTCAAGGATTTTTCAGCTTCTGATGCCCAGCCAGCGAGAAGGCTGGAGGGGCACAAGAAGTTGGGAGGGGACACAGCCAGGGCAGCTGATCCAGACTGGCCAACAGGGTATTCCATACCATGTGACATCATACCCAGTATATAAACTGGGGAGACTGGGGGGATTGCCACTCGGGGACTAACTGGGTGTCGATTGGCGGGTGGTGAGCAGTTGCACTGTGCATCATTTGTATATTCCAATCCTTTTATTATTACTGTTGTTATTTTATTAGTGTTATCATTATTGTTATTAGTTACTTCTTTTCCTGATTTTCTCCCCCATCCCACTGGGTGGGGGAATGAGTGAGCATCTGTGCGGTGCTTAGTTGCTGGCTGGGGTTAAACTATGACACGTTGCATAGAGCACTGGGCACAAATAATAAGGTTTCAGTGCATGATCCTGCTTAATCATGGGAAAGCAACTTGCACATATCTCCTGCCATGCAGGGGAAAAAAAACATGTGAGAGTGGGGAGGCATTCTCTCATTTGGAAAACACCACCGGTGTTGCATTTCTGATTGCAAAAGTTGACTGGCAAAAGGACAACTGCAGCAAGCAGAGATGGCCAGTCTCTCATCAATTAAATTTCCCTTTTGCAGCTGATGAGGAACACCAGCAAAATGTGGCAGCGGCAGCAGCAGCAGTGGTCAGGCCCTGGCCCCATGCTGAAGAGCGGGGAGATGGGATGCCAAGGCGCCGGAGGAACATGGGAAACAGGATGATGGCCCAGAGGAGAGCGCAGCAGGTGGAAGACTGGGTGGAAGGTAATATTTGGTTCAGTTCATCTTGCAAACATTGAAACACACCTTAACAGCAGACATTAAGGTTGGTGAAGGGGTGCGGTTGGCTCCTGAAGAAAGTTTTTCAGTTTTGCTGACTGTGAGTTACTTACAGCTTGACTATAATCTATTTGACTCTCCAACTTCTTTCTGTACTTCCTCACTTAATCTCTATGTACCACTTATCTTTAACTGAAGTGTCTGCCTCCTCCTGTGGTGAATTCTGGCAGTTTGTCGTGCCAACAGTGCATCACAACATATTCTTTGCTTACTTCCTAGAAACTGCCTTTTGTATTTCCTGCTTAACCATGCAGGTTAAATTTGGGTAAACAGAATCCGCACCTTGCACTCAAATAATGAGCCATAGTAAAGTACTGGTTTCTTACAAATTGGTGGGAAGCATTAATTCCCCAATATAATCTCTGTAAAATCTGGAGTTTTCTTTCTGAGGAGCCATACAGGTGGTGATCAGAATCAAGCCAATTAACTGGAGATCACCACAGACTGCAGCATTTTGTCTTACTGCCAGCAGTTTGTTGACAATGAGTCCTCTGTTCCTGTGCTGGATCTACAGTTAATAGCTTTGCTTCTGTGGTGTGGTTGTAGACGAGAACACAGTGATAAATAACATCTTTCTACACCCTGTAAGCCTCGCTCCCTTTTCTGGTGAAACTTCACACATTATTATCTTTGTTGCTAAAGAAACGATATCACCATGATTCACCTAACTGGATTCCTTCTACTTTCAGACTGTGGGTTAAGCGTTCAGGGTTTCTGCTCAATTATTGATAAAAGTGGGCTTTGCTTCACTTGAGTTTGCAGTGGAGATCAGAGTGTCTTTTTAGTCTGCAGTAGGTGACAAACAGTGAGCACACATCTGTGTGATGCCTTGATTAGGGGCTAGTTGCATTTTCTTCAGCTTTTCTTGTCTTGCACATTGTAGAAGGTGTCTTGCGCTCATGTTGGCAGGTAAACATGCTTTTCAAGCTAATTGTGTTCAACGGTTTCACAAATGGGAAATTGACAGGTCTGAACTTTTCAACTTTGGTTATTTCTTTTCATGTGATAGCATCCTCAAAATAAAATGAAATCTGAATATCTTTTGCCTTAAACTCCAGACATCAAAAGTTTGAATGCTGAAGGCCAACGGTGAAGCTGTCAAAGCAAATGGCTTATCTTACTTTGTAACTTTAGCAATAGAAGAATCTGTGTCATTGGACTTTATAAATAATTCTTTTGCAGCTTACTGTACATCAGATGCAAGTGCTGCGGTTCTTGCATGAAGTTTTCTTTGAAATGACATCCCTGTTTTGTTTTTTTTAATTTCTTCTTCAAATTAAACCAACTTCTTGCTCTTTGCTTCTGTTTTCTGCTTCTGTGTGGGTTTTTATTCATATTCTGGGGTGGATTTTCCAAGTGCCTAAGCACTGTTGCACAACCAAAGCCTTTGGAGACTGAGCATAGACTTCAGTATAGCTGTGGAGAGAAGCATCTGTCCGTGGTTCCCCAGCATTGAGGTGTACAATGACTAGCGGCCATTATTACTTGGGACTAGCCCCACTTTGTCATGGACTGGCTGTGTCTGTGCTGCAGAGCTACCTATATTAGTGTGTGGTTTGGGTTTTTTGGGTTTTTTTGCCCCTTAGAGAAGGATGTGTTACATGTTTTGAAGGCCAGTCTGTGGGCATATAGCATAGGCCTGGAATCACTCTTGGATTTTTCTCCTTTGTGTGGGGGCCATGTCCATTTTCTCTGTTATTGCAGTATAGAGCAGTTTTGTCTAATTACTGCCTCCATTTGAACGTGTTGAAATAGCAAGTTATCCCCACAGCTGAGTTTTGTGTTATAAAAATTAGTTGGTTCATATGGAAAGAGAGCCCAGAACGCATGCAATGTTGGACAGTCCCAGGCAACGCAGGACCAGTTGGGGCACCCAGGGCTGAAGAGCAAAGCTATTTGGCAATGTAGACAGAAACACTGGTAACAAGCCAGTCTGGTTTCTTCAGTCTTGACTTGTAAATGTTCTTGTTGCTTTAGAAGGCTTCTGAACATCTGCAACTGAAGTGCGTTGGGTTTTTTCGTTGTTAAAATGTTTTACTAGTAAGTTTCTATTCTGTGTGTGGAATTTCTACTCTGGGCCTGTGTTTAGCTTTGGGCAAAGCTACCTGATCCTGCTCTGTGTCACTCTGACTTCTGCCACAGGTCGGTGCAGGCATAACACGAACCCAGCACTGCAAGATTTCTAGCACTGAACTCAGGAGGGGTGTGAGGATGCCCTGGCCAGATCTATGTTACTGTTACAGACATGGAAGTGGAGTCAGGTAGGAACTGCTGTTATCACCAGAGTATTCTGCCTGTTGGAAGCCAGTTCTGCTGACTCTAGGGAACGGTCTCAAAGCAACACTTGTAGGCTTTGGAGTTGTGGTTAGCATGAGGGTTTTCTGTTTTCCATCTAACAATCAGATTTCAATTCCAGAATGAGAAAGAAAGCTTCAAGGGTAAAATAGTAGCCCACGGTTTCTGCTGCCTGTGCTAAGTTGTTGTATTGTGCCAGTGTCCAAATCTCTTGCAGAGTAATGGGGGGAACCAAAACAAATTGTGGCACTAGGATCAGAACCTCTCACTTTTAATTGTCCTTTCTGTAGTTGAAATCTTATTCTTCTTTGCTTGCAAGTCTGGTTAAGGAGTCATTTAATACAGAGAAGGACAGTAAATGATTGTTTCAAATGCTCAAATCTACACCCATTACCAGCGGAGCTAAACCAGGTTATAATTCTTCCTTTAGGTCGGTGGGGTGGGATAAGACACGTAAATTACTTGCAGATTGTCACAGACAGAAAATAAACAGTGAAGCACTAAATGCCTCGACTTTCCTACCAGAATTGCAACCCACGCGGCGTACGTAGGTTCCTTATTCACGGATTCCATGTGGGCTGCACTGTGCTGTGGGGGCAGGCCCGCTAGCCGGCTGCCTACGCTGGCTCGGTTTGCCTGAGTAATGCTTTTCAGTGGTTAGTTGAGTACTCAAAGGAGGTCATCTGTTATGAGAATATGAACATCTATTAATATCCTCTGATGACCAAAGATTGCTGGAGAGATATTTTTCATCAGTGACAAAGTAATTCTCAAAATGACTGAGACCCCTGAGCTGTGTTCCACCAGCATGGCTTTAGAAAAATGGGTTTGGTTGGCTTATATTGCCCAACTTAATTCTAGTCATAACACTACTGTCTTTCATGCAGCCCAGTGCAATCTAGGCAACTCTTGTTAAAGTCTGTGTGCCTCAGAGGACATCTGCTCTGCACATTGTAGCAGGGTGCCTATGCCTTTCCCTGTGGAAAATGAGTCTGGAAGGAGAGTTCTGTATTCATGTGGTTAGGTTGCTTCTGATATCCCAGCTAGCAGACTTAATTAGCTCTGTTGTATCTTAATTTAAATTGAACCCAGATAGAAGTGGCTTTGTGGGGCTAGCTAGAGCCAGGATAAAAATAAACTCACTGCAAGGCATAAATGTGTGTGGATTTCAGGCATTAATCATTTAGGGCAGGAAAGGCCAAGCTAAGCAGTGGAAGGAAGCAGGGGAAAAGGGATAAACTGGAGTTGGGCTGAGAGTTGTTTGGGACGTGGGGTAGTGTGAATAAATAGCATTAGCCATTTTCCAATTTCAGATCCCATTTATTGACTGAGGAGGGGTATTTATGGCTCTTGTTTTTGCCTGATTGATGCTCTGAGTGCATCCACTTGGACTTTGATCACCTTTGGGTATGTGTAAAGATGTTTCGTTAAGAGCTTTTATTTGGTTGCTGGTCATGTGCAGAAAGAGCAGTCGTCCAATTCTCGAATTGAGCTTGCACTTCCAGACCTGCTTATTGTGCCTTGAACAGTGCGAAGAGCTCTGCAGTGAAGTAGGTACTTCTCTTGACACTACATTTTATGCTTCTTGGAGCAGAAAGCGACCCAGCCAATCTGATGTTTGCATAAAAGCTTTAGTACCCTAATTTCTGATCAAGTGACAAGAAATTTGTGGGGATGAACTTATGACAGCAAGTATGGTTGGGTTGTCTTGATCCTACCGTTGTAAAAATAATGAGGATGATGAACTGAGGCAAATGCCTGTTTGCTTGAAGGACTGTTATACATTATTTCCGACAGTGACTTTGTACAAACATGTAGTGAGAAAACCTGCTTGCCTCAGCACATGATACAAAGAGTTTGCGGAGAGACAGAGGCATGCACAGGCAAAGTGCCTTTTCCGGGGTTGTTCAGTCAGTTGGTGAGTAGGACACAGGTTTTGCAGGTTTTCTGTCACTTGGAGTGGTGTCTTGGACCAAAACTTGCTGCTGTTGATTTGAGGGGGTGGCATTTTTGTTGGCTGAAACTTCTAGGTGTCACCACACCATGATTTAGGGTAGTTACAAGAAACAGACTTCTCTAAGAAATGATAGCAATCTCCAAACCACCAAGCAAAACAAAGACCACTGGGCAACCTTCTGCGTGGAAGGCTTTGGTCGATGTTGTGGATGAGGCTGAGCTAGACAGAGAAAGAAACAAGGCTAAAGAAAAAGACGTGCCAGGAGAGCCTAAGCAGCCCAGTAGATTTCCAGGGAATACTTTCAACGGTTTAATTTTGAAAGGTGCTGACTTTCACATCCTGCAAACAAATGACCTCTCGGACTTGTTGCAAAAAGTGTTGCCAAAAAATGGGATTTTGTGTGGATTATTGTGTTTTGATGGGTTTTTTCGAAACAAACAGAAAGTAAGGACTGCATCAGAGAAATAATCTGGTTTTGTCAACAGCCTTTATTCGTAACTGTAACAAACTACAGGTTCTCTACTTTTGGCAGCAGCGTATAACTCCAAAAGGTTAAATATCCCAACATCTGCAGGCCTTTTCTCTGAGCTTTTAGCCCTGTATATCTGAGCACAGGTTTCGGAACGTCCACTACAGTGAACACTGGGTTAAATTTACTTTACTTACACAGAAT